CTCCCAATCCAATAAAGTACCAAAGATGGGTAGGTTTTTACGCTTGCTTTCTGGAGATGTGGTGTGTACAGACCCTTTTTTGTTTACTCGTAATATTAAGAAAAATATAATTTAATTGTATAATTTTTTCCCACGAGTAACCAATTTGGACTTTCCTCCCCCCATATTGTACCAAATATGAAACATTACAATTCACTTGGTAATTGCATTTTTGTAATTATATTGATTACTGAAACTGAACTCAACTTGTTAAGTCTCACTCGAGACAAAACTTTTATTGGGTTGCCCAAAAAGTAATTGCGGATTTTTTAAAAGAAAGTAAATGCATTTTTAATAAAACTTAGAATGAACTTTAATCAAATATATAATTGCCATTTTGTTCGATAACCTTTTGCCATCTTCCTGGCAAATTTGGTATTCCACGCTCATAGAACTTCTGGCCTTTATCTGAAAGTTTTACCATTTAAGGAGTTCTGCAAAGATCGAAATAAATGGTAGTCTGATGGTGCAGGGTCAGGGCTATATGGTGGATGCATCAAAAGTTCCCAGCCAAGCTCACTCAGTTTTTGGCGAGTGACTAAAGATGTGTGCGGTCTAGCGTTGTCCTGGTGGAATATGACACCTTTACGATTGACCAATTCTGGTCGCTTCTCCTTGATGGCTGTATTCAATTTGTCCAATTGTTGACAGCAAACATCCAAATTAATCGTTAAATTAATTATTAAAATTGACGCCAAACAAACAAATGTAAACAAAATTTCGCGCACTTTTTTTCAAAGGTAAGCTAAAAGTAACAGCTGATAACAAAAATTTGTCAACGCCGACTATATGAAAAATCCGCAATTACTTTTTGGGCAACCCAATATAATATAGGGTATTTATAATTAATTAAATAATAATAATTGATTTAACTATTCAGGTGATTGTTGAAAGGACCCTTCTGTAACCAAAGCAGTTTAAACGACTTTGGTGAGGTCAAGATTAGAATATGGTTCACTAATGTGGAACCCCAATTATCAGGTTCATTTCGATAAATTGGAGTTGGTTCAAAAACAATTTTTACTTTTTGCCAATATTAGAATATCGTTCACTAATGTGGAACCCCAATTATCAGGTTCATTTCGATAAATTGGAGTTGGCTCAAAAACTACTTTTACTTTTTGCGTTAAGACCTTTCCGATGGAACTCTACGATAAATCGTCCTCTCTATATCAACCGTTTGAAGGCTTCTTGAAATACCTCCTCTCGCAAGTCGTAGAGCAATGTTAGGTGCATTGTTCGTAGTCATACTTCTTAACGGAGCAATTTGTAGTTCATGACTCTTATCTGAGGTAACCTTTAATGTTCCAACTCGTGTATCTCATTTAAAACAAATTATGAATTGAATGAACCCTTTCGCCGATTGTTTCACAATTTTAATTTTCATTCCGACACCTTCCATCTCTCAGACTCACTTCTTAGCAACAAAAAACTGTTCCTACTTCTCTCAACAATCAAATTTTAAAATTCTATAATTATTAAATTTCAGCTGTTGAATTATTAGGTTTGTTTATTGAGACTAAATTTAGAGTAGAGCAGCTCAAGTTCGAGCAGCACAGAGCAGCTGCCAAAATAACAATAGAGTAAGTTAGAGCAACTCGAAGCAAATAGCTTATGAAACATTTTTCAGGCAACAATTTTCATTGCGAATGTTTGACTGCCCTATTATGAACAAAATAGAAAATTTTTTAAATTTTTTCATATATTATTTAATAAAATTTTTTATTTTTATCATCCCACAACACAATTTTTTGAACTAGAGTAACCTGGCGTAACAAACCTATTATGTTTTCTGTAGCTGAATAGTTTTAAATCTCCACGCTTAAGGGGGGAACCTGGTGCAGAGGGTCAAAAAATCGTTTTTTTGAAACTTATCTCATTCGATTAGAAATATATTCAGAAATATTTGCACAAAATTTCAGAATCAAATTCCTGATCGTTCCGCAGAAATGGCCTCTGAGAGACAATGCGCTCAGGAGACTGATAAGCGGGCGCGAGAACTTTGAACGCGATTTTCTCAAAACAGTGTTTTTCTGTTGTCACATTTTTATAAGTGATACCTTTTTTTATAGCTAATAGTGTAGGCTTCTATCTGAACCTAAAAAATCAAAATAAAAAATTTTTTTTATTAACTTTTTTCAGTAAATTATCTTCGAATTTCTTTAGAAAAACGCAAAATTTTTTATAAACAGTCATAAATTGAATAATTTTATACATTTCTTCGAATATCTTAGGTTCACATAGAAGAGCAACTCCTAAGTTACAAAAACAGTATTCGTTTTTATGTTTCAGATGAAAGCTAAGGTCGCCTACTCTTCGAGCGAGAAGTGCCACAAACGAATACGAAATGTTATTGCTTAACAGCATCAAATAAAGTGAAAGTAAATTTTTTTTGAAAGATTTGTGTATCTGTGACCTATTTAAAAAGTACTTGAAACATTTCATACGTAAGGCAACCTAAAACACTGTGCCGAATTTCATGCAATTTTCAGCGTTCTTAACCAGGTTTCCCCCTAAACAAACGCTTCCTAATCATGACTCCGCATATTCCGCACGTTATGGTGATGTCGCCTCTCGTGTCGGTTGGCGAGTGGAGGGTATTTGTTGGGCTTATTATTATTAAAGTAAGTAGAGGAATTGTAAACACTTTTTAGATCGTGATCTTTCATTAACATAATAGGATAGGTTAATTAACTTTGTTCCGAAGTATGTAAGAACCCGAGGGAAAGGAGAAAGACCCAAAATTTTTACCGATATGCACGATAGCACGACAAGATGTGCTAATTTAGTCTTAGTGATATTTCAACCGAACTTGGTAAGCAAATGCATTTTTATACTGCATTCATCATTTGTTGGAAAAGGTCAGATCGGACCGCTATATCATAAATAAACCTCCGATATAAGGGATATTTAATTTTTTTTAGGGTTTTAATAGTTCAACAAAAGAATCTAAGAACATGCAACTTGGTATTCTACATACATATATATGTATGTTGATTCCACATTGGTACTAAAAATAATCGAAATCGAACGGCTAACTATGTCATATAATTCCCATACAACCGATTAGTTAAGAAATCGGGTTTTGGGTAGAGAATCCCTTGAAAAAAAGGTTGCATCGTAACGATAAATTTCACGTTAATCGAAAAATATTTATTTTTTCGGTTCAAATATTTCGAAATATTAACTGTAAAGAAGTTAACAAAGAAAAAATTTCTTATCACGTTTACCCGAAAAGAAAAGCTGTCGTTATTATTAATCCGTTAACAGACAATGTTATTGTTGTGATATTATGAGTTTTTTTGAAGTTTCAACGTTAACAATTCCATTTCGTTTTGATAACATGGCGCCGAAAAGAAACGATTTCATTTCGCTAAGTTAAATTTGTTGGTTGGAAACGAAACGATATTTATCAAATATATATATTAAAGAAATATTGAAACTGAAACTCATCAAAATGTGAGCACTTCTTTCTATTCCTAATTGCAATTGCCAATAGGTAGGGAATGAAATGAGAGACCCTCATAAAAATCCATTAGCCGTTCGGAACGCCTCAGTATAAACATACCCGTATTAACAGTCTTGGCCAAAAGTATTAGGCACCCCATTAAAATACAAGTATTTTTGAATGCGGCTATCAAAGTTACCACTTCTTTTTGTAAATGTCTTACATGGGTGTTTAACTGTTGATTAAACGAATAAATTGTGTAATATTAAAAGTCATAGCACTCTGGGTAAGCTAAACCGAAAAATTGTCATTTTAAAAAATTCATAAAATATTTTCGCATTTAAAATTTGAAAGTGAAAGCGTAAAATACATTTAGTGAAAAGTTAACAATCTTATAAAAGCACTTCATATTTACCGAAATGCCTAAAAAAGTGAAATTATTGTAGTTGCGATGATAGAGTTAGAATTCAAGTTCTAAGCGAAGAAGGTAAGACCCTGGTTGAGATTGCCAATTTGGTGGGATGTTTGCGGTGCGTGGTCCAATTTGCTGTCAGGTGATTTGTGGAGACGAAATCCAACAATAATAAGTCAAAAAGTGGAAGAAAGCGTCCAACCAGTAAGCGAGAAAACCGAATACTTATACGCGAGTCTTTCAAGGATCGCAAAAAATCTTCTTTTGCCCTTGGAGCTGCCCTTTGCATGAATTTAGTAAACCAGTTAGTGCACGAACAGCTAGAAGAAGACTTCTGGAAGTAGGTTTAAAAGGATGTAAAGCCCGAAAGAAACCGTGGATCACAGAAAAGAATAGGAAAAATCGCTTTGAATGGGCTCGCCGATACCAACATTTCACGGAAGATGGTCTGATGAATCAAACTTCGAGATAAGCTTAGTTAAGATCGTCTTAAAGTATCAACAGTCATAGCTTCTTATCCTAGAGCAATTTTGAAGACATAATACAAATCTTATGAAAATATTATTTTTTTTTTTACAGATATTTGGAACTCCTGGTGTGACGTTCGTGAGGCGCCGGGTGGGAGAAGAATATCATCCAGATTGCGTGGTACCCACTGTTAAGCATAGGGGAGCCAGCATTATGATCTGGGACTGCATGGCTTAGTATAAATTTTAGGTCCCTCCATTTGTTGGAAAAAATATCAAGACACAATTGGAGGAGGAGCTCGTTTGAAAAATCGCTTCAGCGGTTACAAAGCGCCAATTACATGTTTACCCTATACAAGAACGGAATAGAGAGAGAAAAAAGTCAATTTGGTAAATGACGAACACGCTTGACGAGATACAACAGAATGTATTTCGCAATACAATCAAGATTTTCTTTGGTAAGCGATTGTCACGTACTGGGTTAAAACCAAGAGTTCTTTGAGCATATATACGATTCGCTTCTATTTTAACTGTACAAATAAAATTTAAAAAATACCCACGAAATTGTCGGTAAAATTGTATTTGTTTCAATTAAGATCTTAAACGAAAGTGAAAATTCTTTACAGTCGTTAAATATTTTACCAAGAAATCACGTCTACGAGTTTATTCGTTTTTATAAAAAAAAACTGAAAAATTTATACAAAAAGATGTTAATAGTTCGTAGCAGACCCTATACGCTTTAAATTTAATCGCTCATCTCTCATTAGGGAAGCTTTTACGGTTTCATATTTCTTTTGCGACTCCTCGTGCGTTAAAGTTAAACGTTGCTGAATCATTCTCTTATGCAATGCGATGACATTGGATTGTTCTACCAGCTTCTCGTAGTTGTAGTTATCGAACTGGTCTTCGAATTTATTTAAAAAACGCTGCAATGATTTTCCTTCCGCAGTAAGCTGAAAACACACATTTGAAGTCACATACATATTTATGTACAATATATAGCAAAAACAAATCAATAAATATGTTGCTTACATCTTCGTATTGACGCTGTAGATCATTCAATAGTCCCACGAAACGGGTTTTGAGTTCATTTAGGCATGCATTGAATGCGGCCCACGATTCCTCATACGTTAAAGCTCGGTTTTTATAGGGCACCAAATAAGGTGCCAGAAAATCTGCTGGTTTTGATGACATCTCAAGTTTCAATGCTTCCTCTTCAGCCGCCTAGATTATTTAAAAAAAAAATTATAAATATAAGTTCAATATTATTACACAGCAGAAAAAGATAATTGGTCATAAATAAAATAAATATTTTGTCATAGGAATTCATTTTTAGCCCTGCAAATCAAACAATTTTTTCTACTCTTGAAAAAAACTTCTATCTATATGAAAAAATCTTTTTCCAGAAGCGGAAAAGGTACAGATTAATTTAAATAAAAGGCGGTTTACTGATTTTTCCCTTTTTTTAGGTGGCTTTGTTTAGTGTTTAAGCCAAACCAACCATAGCAGCCTATTCGTTTCTACTTTTCGGATGGAATCTGCTCAGCCCAAAGTAGCACTCGTTGGGAAGAGTGATTCTGTTCTGGGGAGTAAAGCTAGTAAAAAAGGAGAAAACTACCGTTAGAAAAATTTTAATAGTAATAAAGTTGAAATAAGTACAATAATATTTTTTGTTCCTACGATCCGCAGGGTTAAAGAGAATACAGCAAGGCTCTTTCGTAACGATAAATTTATCCTTAATCGAAGAATTCTGTCGTCTCGGTAGAAACATTTGGTAATATTAACGTTAACGTAGTTTTCGAAATAAAGGAATCGTTTACAAATGTTCTTGTTGTAGCGACACCGTTAACAGATAATATTACACGTTGAAATTGTAGTTTGCTGTTAAATCTTAGAGAGTAGTCATCTTAAAATTAATGGGTGCATTCAGCGAACTGAGCGCTCAGTAAACATGTTCAGTGAGTGATTTTACTGAGCGATTAATTTTCATGAACGCAATGCTTCTTCAAATGTCAAAACGACCAAATTAACCGCTACTTCAACTGCCGAGACGACCAACTAATTGTGATGTTGAGTTTTCGCCATGGAAAATATTGCTATGCACTATTATTTTGAAGTAATTATCATAAAAATTATATATTTACAAATAATTGTTGTGTTCCCCAAACTGGTGATCTGCATACCGTAGCACAGTTTCTTCATAAAAATGTTTGATCCTTTCTTTTAAATTTCTTTCTTTGAAAAAGTGGTTATCCAGTCCAGATGGCAAAGCTAAATCTATTTGGCAACGCAAAAAATCTTGTAAATTGTCGTCACAAGCACTTTCAAGTAAAAATACTTTTAAATTTTCGCGATTCTTTTTTTCTGTATACATCAGTTGACCGATTAATAGCAGTAGCATACAAATTTTATGCTCACAAATATGGTGAGCGCTCAGTTCGCTGAACGCACCCAATGATAACGATGAGTTTTTTGCGGTTTCAACGTTAACGATTTCATTTCGCACAGTTAATTTTTGTTGTTATCGAAAGGGAATGAATGATATCGTTGTGTTTGTTGAGCATCTCTGGAATTCAGACATTTAGTGGAAAAGAGAGATATGAAGCATATACATATGTATATAAAATTTGAGTGTTTATGTACAATTCTGCGACTATTATGACGGGTAATAAAAATTCAGACGTACATAAATTGGTTAAACCCATTTTTTGTTATGAGCCTAATTTTGAATTTAAGTACATTTGGCATACTCCTCCACTCCCACCATAATGTGCTGAGAAAAGAGTCTTCTGACTAATAGAAATTTTGTTTCAAGATGTGATCTGAAAATTGAAGAATTAAAGTATGATTCTAATATCACCAATCCCTGAAATGATGAACACAATATCCCTCTGAAAATGTTTTTGAAACATATCAAGAATTGCCTTTGAATACCATAAAATACGTATTTTGTGAAAACATACCTGCTTCATTTGCATTGCTCTAGCAGCTCCATTACGCAACGGATCAAATATACTGAATTTTAGTGTCGGATTTTTTATTTCTTGCCTACGTAGATCGAAAATTGCGTTTATTTCTTCCAAAAGCTTTTCGAATTGTTTCTTGACTTTGTCTTGATGTTTTAGTTCTTCTAATAAAAGTTTATATAGTTCCAGTGGTGTGGGATCTGGATCTGAAATATTGGCCTACGGATATAAAACAAATTTTTTTTTATCTTAAATCGCTAATTAATAATATGTGCAGGTGCGTATGTCATCATGTCTTACACCTGGGCTAGGAACTAAGTTAACGCAGTTTGTGATATCATACTCAAATGAAGGGACGAGAGCTCGCCTCGACGAGTTTTCTTTCTGTGTTGCCACTTGTTACACTTCTGCTTTGAAAGGAGCAATCCATAATGGTGGTAGTACTACTGCCAAACCCATCCTAAAATGTAGAGATTCCACAGTCGACGAAAATTCGAATGAAAAGCGTTCCTACGGTCTCCAGTACTCTAATAAGAATGGGTTGAAGACGAAAACTATTTACAAAGCGACCGCCAGATCATTAAAAAACTAAGGGATTACTCCGACCGGCAGAAAGCGAACTGCGATGCTGGCTAGCTAGTGAAGTAAGGGAACAGCGCTTCAATGCCAAACGGCAGGCTAAATCGAGAAACCTCCTTAAAGGCTTGGGCCAACGACAATAGTTAGGGGCACCGGAAAGCAGTGTAACTGAAGCTGATGCGCTCTTGGTAAAACTGGATAGAAATCCGGACATGGAAGTATGGGAAAAGGAAGTAATTGTGACGCTTCAAAGGCAGTGATATCGCTTACAGGTTCCTCAAAGACAAAACCCTTATAGACGAAAAATTCGAAAAAAGATATACTCCAAAAAAGCAAACCGGCCGTGTGGAGATTATGGGGCATAGGTAGGGCATACATTTGCTTCAAAAGAGATACATCTGCAGAGGTGGGAGGTGAGTTAGATCTAGGAATATGCACCTTGAATATGCAGTAAATAATGAATGGTGCAAGCGTCTCTGCCGAGCTTCTTCTCAACTCAAATTTTCCAGACAAGAACTGTCGATGGCAGGTGTAACGAATGGCAAGGATGTGACGCAACTCCCTGCAATATTTTTGTAGATTAGGCTTAGAATAAGAATACTAAGCGCAGTATTAAAGACCTCTTCAAACTGGGAGACCTAGTCAACACGCATTTTATGGTATGTACAGATGCTATAAAATTATAACATTTTGGGGATAGCTTAGAGAATTATCTCCAAGTTATCATAATGAAGATCAAAAAACTTTGGGCAATCGATTTCTTCGAACCGCAAGCAGTAATTTTACAGATGACGAATTTCCTCATTCAATATTACAGGACGAGAACGACGAACGACGAACGAAGGTTTGTAGGGTTTGGTCTTTGATCGTCTAGAGAACATTTTACTTCTCAACTGCTTACTTAGTCCGAAGGAGCACCTGTTGGCAAGAGCGATTCTCTGTTGGCTGAAATCGTTATTGGCAAGATAGCAGAAGTTATAAACAAATTTAAAATTATGACCATCAACAGTGGCCAGAAAGCCTCGTGTTCACCCACTACTAGACCCATAGGCTTCGCTTCCTTATCCATTTGAGATATTCTGTATTAAAATATATATATATGTATTGGATCTGCTTCGATATCGGAAGGTTGACCGTAAACAATTAAATCTTAAACTAAACTTAAACCTAAAGCCCATTAGAAGAAATGGGTCGCCGGCTTGACATTGCTCCTAGAAGACTGGTTAATCTCTTCTCTTCAAAAGGGTTAAACTTGTTACAGAGGCTAAGATGTAGGGTTAACAGTTTTGAGGTTTCGAAAATAAACGTAAATAAAATGCGCCTAAAATAATTTTTTTTATGATATTCTTTGTTATATTAAATCACAACCATTGGAGTTCCATGTGAAACACTACATTTTTCCAATGACTGCCTTGCGAATTTTTGCCAATTTCGATCCGTGTTGGGTAATTTTCGACCACTTTTTGGCATATATGGGGCAGTATACCCGCCTTAACTTGAATATTGGTTTTCAGGTGGTGAAGAGTTAAAAGCTTATCAGACGAAAAGACGAAAGTCCAACATTGTGAAATTGTCCTTCTTAGGTTGTCAATAGAAATCGCCAAGACGATTAAGGTCCCTTCAAACCTTCGGACGAAAGATTGTACCTGACAGTAGGGTTTTTTGTGTGTGTTGCCCCTTTTCATTTATTTAAGGATACGTGGAGTCCCGTGACACTTTATCGTCTGATTCTCTCAATTTGATCCACTGGGAAATAATAAGAGCTGGAGAGCTAAATAGACAAGGTATAATTCCTTACAAGAGTGCACATCTACTGGCGCGAGCCGATACATCATGGTTCTTCTTTCTCCAGACTTGATAAATAAGCGTGTCTGGTAGTGAAAGGGGGCAAGACGAAATATATCCTGTCATCAAACAAACAGGCATCACATTCGCGGCTTAGTTCCCAAGTCATTGTTGACAGTCATAACTATGAGGTCGTAGATAATTTCGTCAATCTAGTGACCAGCGTTAATACCGGGTGGAATCAGGTGTAGATCAGCCAGATTTGACTATAATCGCTTAAGCGGTGCCTTGGTTATATCAGGCTCAAATTATCAGGTTCGTCTCTGGTTTGAAAATACTTTTTAGGTAAAAATGGCATCAAACTCACTGACTCAACTACGCCAACTTAAAAAAATAATGTATATGCCCATATACAGGGTTTTCCAATAAAATGTGTTGTTTTGATATTCAAAGAAGCTTTTCCTTTAACAGATCGGTGGTTTATGTTATAGCTCCACGTGGGAGGATGGAGTTGCTTTCCAACAATAAATCCAGCTGCGACAGTTTTACTTATTGACGTTACCATCGAGGCTCATGATTTTTCAATAAAATTCGTGTAGTGAATTTGAATAATTGCAGTGCGTTATTGAATTTTTACTGCCGTTGTAGTTTTTACTTGTCAAATGTGGAAAAATTACAGCTTCAAAAGTAACAGGCCGGGAACGATGAGCGAATTGTAGTTTTGTTTTCTTTCGTCGAGAGAGGATTTAACTCTTGTAATTGCCTTTGTTGCTGGTGTTAATACTAGTTTCCAGATAGAGGACATCGAAGCTATGACTGTCAAAGGAGATATGAGAGCCGTGTTCATATCTTTCGCTTCCTTATCCTGTGTGGAGAAAGCAAAACTCACGGCGCGGTTATTGAGATCGATATTTCAAAATCACCGGCGTACGCCAGCAGCTGTGTACTTATATAGAAGATTGTACCTTCAGCTCTGCGGCTCTTATTATTTGAAACTTCGTTTGGTATCAAGGTGGCGAGGTCCTACCCAATCCTGTCTTAACGTCAGTTTGCATAGCTGCATAAGTTTTGCGGGGTAACCAAGTTCCGACATTGCGGCCTCTGTGCAGCTCCTTTTCGTTGTTTGTGTCGATCGCTTTTTCACGGATCTTTTCCAAATTTTGGCGCATAGGGAATATCTGATCAATGATTGATATGATCCATTTGGTTTGTTGAGGATTTTTGACTGTGGGCTTTAGTCTTTCACACAAAACGGTCAATAGAATCTTATATGCGATATTAAGGAGGCTTGTCCCACGGTAATTGGCATAGTCTTTGGAATCGCCTTTTCGTTGTTTTTTGTGGTTTGTATGGAGCACACTGAGTTCTAATCATCGGTTATTCTTTCATACATTGATACGGAGCTGATGCATGCACCTTATTTGAAAGTGAATACTTTTCTATAAAAGAGTGGATACTTTTGGAAACCATTTTGGCTAATTAAAGGATATTTTGGTTTAGAAGGCCTCGACAAAACCAGTTGTAAATAGTTGTGAATGAAACTTGTGTATGTATGTGTATCAGGGTTTCTTGTTAGGTAGCACCTATGGAAAATATTGCAGCCTACTAATTGATGCGTTACAACAGCTGAAGCGATCTTACACCGACCTCCTCTTCCAACACCAATTTCAATATTATCTGGTTATTGAAGTTATTATAGAAACATACATCAACATATTGAATATGAGAAAGAAATTTGTGTAAGAAAGTTTTTCCGTCTTTATGGATATGCATATTTCTAAGGCAGAATTGGTTGGCATTAGATTCACTATAAAGAAAAGTTTCAATATGCTAGACCATATAAACCGCATAACTTTTCTTTATAGTAGTTCCATATTCATAATTATTTTATTATATGGAAAATCGCGAAAAAATCCTCGCACAAATAACCTTAACGTTTAACTGCGTCTTCACATTTTTTTGAATTACAGAGAAAAAGGCCTTTGGAATAAAATTTCCCTTATGTTGACAATCTCGTAAATATTATTTGGATTTTAATTAAAATTGATGTAGCCTCTTTCCAAAAATAAGTTACGGGTATTTCGCGACAACTTGAACCCATACGTGCTGTCGGCTCGCTCACATTGGGTGCGTTCAGCGAACTGAGCGCTCAGTAAACATGTTCAGTGAGTGGACCCTGAGCGCAATGATTAGTGAGCGCTCAGTAAACATGCTCAGTGGTGAGCGCTCACCATATTTAAGAGCGTAAAATTTTTATGCTAATTGCTACTGATAGGTCAATCGCGAAAATTTCAAAGGATTTTTACTTGAAAGTGCTTGTGACGACAATTTACTAGATTTTTTAGGTTTTCAAATAGATTTAGTTGTGCCATCTGCACTAGATAAACAGTTTTTCAAAGAAAGAAATTTAAAAGAAAGGACCAAACATTTTATGAAGTAACTGTGCCAGTTCACAATTAGTTTCGACAGTTGAAGTAGCGGTTAATTTGGTCGCTTCGACATTTGAAAAAGCATTGCGTTCATGAAAATTAATCGCTCAGTAAAATCACTCACTGAGCAGGTTTACTGAGCGCTCAGTTCGCTGAATGCACCCATTACCTCAGTGAACATTTTGTGTCAAATTTTGATGTTCCCGGCTATCACTATTGTAACGGTATATTTAAAAATTATTTGTCAGTATTGAAACCAAATTACCTTGTACAATTTCAGTTGAAACCAATTTACCTTGTACAATTTCGTAAGCTGATGATCAAACTTAATTTCGTGACCGTAATCTGGCTTTGGCGGTTTAATGAATTCCAATGTGGACGATGTAAGTGCGCCTAGAGCATAGTGAAATTTGAGTAATATTTTACCCAGAGCAAAGTCGATTGTGCGCACGGCAATATCTTTGTATGCTGGAACATTTTCAGTTGATTGTCGTTTGAATTTTTCAGTTGTTTTCTAAGTAACATTAGTGGAAATAAGAAATAACGGTCTATTACTAATACGAGTACATTTATATAGTTAAAATAAATTATTCTCACAACCTTTAGTGCTTGACCACCTGTCCGAAATTCAAATTCTTTCAATGTACATCTGTCAGAGCGTTCACTGTAGCTTAGAACGATCTTCTCATTACATACAGATAGGTTTTGCAATGAATCAACTCGGGTGGCCGGATAAAAATGTAGAATTTTGGGCTCAATCGGATTACTATTGTATTCCATAACTGTAAAAAAGCAAAGAGACTAGTTTAGCGGTAAATGTATGATAAGATAACATTAATCTTAGATCTGGACATGATGAAGAAATAAAACACACATTATTCTAACTGAATGTTATGGTCAAGAATTGAACTTTAATAATAGTCTATCTTGTTGTATTAATTTTATTTTGCAAAATGTTACATAAAGTGGATGGGCACAGCTCCAATTGTTGGAGCGAATGGACTCATTCGAGTCTTCTTTCTTCGATGTTCTGCTCCTCAGCGGCAATAACGTTTTTGGTACAGCGTCTCTGTGGACGAGCAAGTAAGCGTGATGAGATAAATATACGAGGTGTGTTCAAAAAAATATCGCGAATTTTGTGCTTTTACAAAAATTATTTATTTATTCATGAATATCTATTTTGTCCCCTTCAAAGTAATCCCCATTATTATACACTTGTGCGAACGGTTTTTCCAATCTTCGAATCACTTCAAAAATCATTTTTTTTGTTCAACTCCTCCTTCGATGCCTTCTTTATCTCGTCAATCGTAGCGCAACGCCCTCCTTTCATGGGCCTCTTTGGTTTAGGGAACAAGAAAAAGTCACAGGGGGCCATATGTGGGGAATACGGTGGCTGCGGCATCATTAGTGTGTTGTTTTTGGCCAAAAAGTCGCGCACAAGCAACGATGTGTGAGCAGGGGCGTTATCGTGGTGCAAAAGCCAATTTTTGTTCTTCCACAAATCCGGGCGTTTCTAGCGAATTGCTTCGCGCAAATTGCGTATAACTTGCAGGTAATATTCCTTATTGACCGTTCTACCGTGTGGCAATACCATTTTCTCCACTTCATTAATTTTTTCGTCTGTTGTTGAAGTGCTCGGGCGTCAGGCACGCTCTTCGTCGTTCACATCTTCTCGGCCTTCTGAGAACATTTTGTACAACCGATAAATGTTGCTTCGGTCCAAGGTAGCTTCTCCGTATGCCACAGTCAACATTCGGAATGCATCCGCGTACTTAATTTCGTTTTTCACACAAAATTTGATACAGGTTTTTTGATCCATTTTTTTTGAATAGGTAAAAATGGAAGACCATCCAAAACACGTGCAAGCAAAGCAGCTGTCAACAATTAAGTGAACATTCAAAATGGCCGAGCTTGTCGGCATAAATGACAGACATGAGTACCAACATAACGTCACAGAAAAATCGAAATTTGATTATACGTAACACGCGAAATTTCAAAATTCGCGATACTTTTTGAACACATCTCGTATTACCAAGCAATGTTGAAAGATTAGCCTGCTAATTCAGTGAAAATTTAAAACCGTAAATAACAGCTGTAAAATAAAGTAAAAAAAGTTTAAATGAACTCTTACTTTCCGACGCTGTAAATAATCTCATTGAATAAATTAACTTACATTCTTTTGTGAACAGAAGGATCAAAAATTCCTTCCTGCGGGTTAGTGGTTCAAGAATTTACTCGCGTTAAGGTTTGCCTGTCGTAAGAGGCGACTAAAATCTAATTGTTATCGCGACAGTCGGGACTTTGTCCCGAAACGACCCGGATTTTTATCCGGCCAAGAATATTTTTGCAGTTACAACAACAGCAAGAATTCCATATAAAGATCTGTGTAAAACAATAATACTTCTCTCTCCCTCTTTTCGTCCTTTTTATCTAACTCACAGAGAGAAACTGTTTTTGGAAAAGCAAAAATGAAACACAATATCTCTATATGTAGAAAATGAGTATAGAACAATTATATTGACATTGACATTTTTAATGTGAAATCTATCTTATTGTTTAATCTTATAGAGGAGAATGTTAAATACAGTCATTGGCCGCTGGGCTCGTATACGAAAATGGACTTCACCCGATAATATAAAAGACATCTGACCACCATCGCATACCGCGCAAGGGAGCAAGAATGGGAAGAAGCAAACAGATCAGATAATTAGATGTCAGATATAATTAATAATATTTTCAAAGATATCCTTCATGTGGCATGTAATAGGTTCCTTAGCTCTAGTATGCACTCCTGCTTCAAGAGCCCTTAGTGAAAGTAAATTGTGGGACTACCTTACAAGTTCCCTTCGAGCACTCGAACCCGATTCCCCAATCAACGACAATGGACAGATGATTCTTTGTCTAGCAATCGTTTAAAAACAACAAAGCCGGCAACAAAGGGGACGATGGTAAAGCGGTAGAGTAGAACTGATAAAGTGCATCATCAACTTATTTGTAACATATGGTCGAATGAAAGCATGCCCGATGATTACAACCTCAGTTTTCTCTGCCCATTCCACAAGCAGGCGGATCCAACAATCGACGGCAATAAATCCTATATATCGTACTTACTGCCACCGTCAGCAAACTTTTTGTACCTTCCCAGTATGTCTTCAGGGCTGGCCATCAGATCCATCATTGGCCAAATATTCAGCATGCGCAAATTTTTGGAAAATACTCGAGAAAAGAGGATGGACACCCATAACCCTTTCGTCGATTTTACAGAAGCATACGACAGTGCGAACAGGAGCTCACTCTCACTATGCTAGAGTTCGGTATCCCAGAAAAACTTATACGGCCGTATAAGCTGACTGTAAACAATACCAAAAACTAGGCAGGATCAAGAAGGATCTCAACGAGAAACGAGGTTTCAGACAAGTTTAGTTCTAATAGCGTGCATTTTTTAATTTATTACTAGGGAAAATTATACGAGCTGCAGAGCGGAATAGAGAAGTTGCAATCTTCTTTAAAAGTGTACAGCTGTCAAGCTGGAGAGCGCCTGTGATATTGATAACATTAGCATCAACATCAGCGCCAGCTCTACTTTCTCCAGTTTAGATAAGGAATCGAAGCGATCTGGTCCAGTATGGAACGAGGACACGAAGAAATATCTTTTGTCATCATACATAACAATAGTCGCATTAGCAATGCCACTGTTGACAGTCATATGTTTGAAGCCAAGATATCCAACGCAAGAGTGATTGCCAAAAGATGCTACTTTGGATTGAGTAGGGAATCCAATGCCGCACTGTCGTTAACTCGGTTGTAATTTCAAAAGCGGGGCTCTAGCCAATAGAGAGAGGAATCGTAAAAACTAAAAATTTGACAAAATATATATTTCAAAACGATTCTCGAGCTTTCAACCCCTTCGAAGAGGGTGGAAGTTAATCTCCGTCTCAAATTTATGAAAATTATTGCGACAGTGAATTTTATCAATTTGATAGCAGAGGCAATGTTTACAGTTAAAATGGAAAGAAAAAAAAAAAAAGAAAATTCCACAAATGAAATCTTGTAGGAGAAGTCCTAGCTGATTTTCGAGAACAATATCATATTGTGTCCTCCTAACTCATATTTAAATATTTAACTGAAAAATACTAACAGTAAAATCTGTGTAGTCTTACTTACAACGAAGACTGTCATTCCGTCCTTTAGAAAAGGTTTCTTCAATTTTTCCAGATTTGTAAAATAACTTAATTTGTTGTAGCAAATCCGCTCTATTTTCGTAATATTCCCATCGTATATTTGGATCTTTGTATTCGTTATCGTAATAGATTGTTATTTGCTCAGTTTTTCCGTCACGCTTGGAATATGGTGAAAATCGTTCATGCACTGCACCTGCGTAATGAACAGTTTTTTCTAAGTTTGGAAATCTTTCTTCGAATTCCTTGAGACCGATATGCAGTTTATTAACCCATGAACGTATTGTATCCAAATGTTTTTCTTCTCCTAAAGATCTCGTACTTTCTGTTATGTTTTCATCAGATCCAACGGTGTATAAACGCATTTCAGGGGGTTCTCCGGGGAGGAGATGCTCCCAATCTTTATTATCTGTCATGTTCCAGCGTATCTCACTAACTCTTTGATAATTCTGCATGTTCACATAATAATTTTGATGGTCCCAAACACTATCAATCAGTATATATTGCTTGCAATGAGTGTCGCAAATGAACCCCGTTGATGGCTCAATAAAACGTGCTTTCGTTGACTCTGGAACTTCATCGCCCTCATCGTTTATGCATGTCTTCTTGGGTTTTATACTCCATGGAGCATTATCGATAATTACTACCCACGCATGTGATCGCCTAAAGTGGTATTTATCCACAGCAAGCAATTCCATTTCCTATTTGTTTTTACAAATAATTTTATTTATAAATAAGAAATATTTTAATAAATTCTCCTAATAATGAAAGATTACACTACCTCTAATTCTAAACGTTCTACTTCTTCACGCATTCGCTTTTCGTCATCCTCCTTTTGCCTCATCATCTGCGCCATATTCTCTTCTAAATGACTTTCTAAATCCGGCATTGAACGCAATTTATACTTTTGACCTGTTTGTACATTTGGAATTTGCTTCTCTTCGGTGTGTAGCTCCTTAAATTGATACGGAAACGGCACATTTCGCTGATCATTCAATACTGTTTCAGCACGAGCGACCCCAGACACAACCATAGCGGGACATCCGGCTCCAATTAGCATGCTACAAAGTAAAGTGGCCAATTCAAAGCAGTTTCCTCGTCGTTTTCGAAGAGTGCTCGCTGGCGAAATCAAACGAGTTGGCTGCAAAAAACAGAAAAAATTTACTTTGCTTCATTCAAGTCGTGACAGACTGTCTGAAATTGAGATATATATAAATTTCTCATTGCTATTAATATTCTCGAGATGTTGTGGGCGGCCGCGGTAGCCGAGTGGTTAGCATTCCGTTGACATTCGGAGGGTTCGGGTTCAAATCGGCAGGGAATGTCCACCCCTCCGAGTGTATTTTGGACATGAAATAAAGATCCTCATAAAAAACCATCAGACGTTCGGTGGCGGCTTAGTATAAACTGTAGGTCCCTCCATTTGTTGAAAAAACATCAAGACGCCAAACCAAAAATTTGAGGAGCAGCTCGGCCGAAAGTCGCTTCAGCGGTTATAAAGCGCCAATTATATATATGTACATATATAAAATTAAGAATTCATAGACTACAGACAGTTTGCTAAAATATTATGTGACGGCAGTAGTCGAGTGGTTAGGAGATGGGATACAATGTGGAGGATGCTGGGTTCGAGCTATGGTCCAGCACACATAAGTACAGTAAATTAAGTTTATTTCTCCTCCAAGGGTTTTAACGGCTTGAAATAAAAGCACCTAATTGAAATCCATCTGCCGTTAGGAGGAAACGAACTGTATCTGCCTCCATTCTTTTAAGAAAATACGAGACACATACAACTTATTAGTTTAAGAGTTCGGCCGAAAATTAATGATGATTTCTTATTGAAAGGGTATACCAAAAACGGAGACGATTCTGAAAATTTGATCAGAATATGACTGAAGCGGGCCACTTGAGAATTTTGAAATTTCTTGAAAGAATCGATTTGTCACTCATTTTTCCCAATTTTCCCTCGATTTTCAAGGAAAAATAGATATTCTCTCTAAACTTATATCTAAATTTATATCGAATTCGAAATTCGAAATTCGCGTTTTGAGAAACTGCAGCCAAACTCCAAGGCTGAATCTCAGAAACTTTCAATACGATCTACTTGAAAATTAAGAATAATATTCTCGAGATGTTGTTGCAATTAATAGGCTAATGGAAAATAATTTTTTTGAAATATCATAGTTGGAAAGCAAAGTAAACGAAGGATAGACGAGTAAGATGATGATTTTCAAAAAAAAAATCTATTTATTCTCTGAAAGTAGAGGTAAATCTTCGAAAAGTTAGAGTGGGTGTCCATACCGCCCATTAATTAAAGAGAAAGAAAAAAGAAAGAAGACAAGATGTGTTAGTATAAAGAGCTTGAGAAACTGGCCGACAAGGGTCGATATACAATATATACGTCTCTATATATCTACCTTCTTTTATGGGCTTTGGAGGTGAAAACCCTCAAGGACACTACGTTTGCCGGTGGTGTTGATCCCACGGGCAAGTATACACACATACATATGGAGCTATTGAAATTTTCCTCGCGTTTTGTACCATTCTGCTCCCAGGCAGAAGGTTATTTTATAAAAAACAATTTATCACTATGAACAGTTTTCCTTAAGCTATGTATGTATGTGTGCGTGTTAATGTATATGCATATTCAGCGGCTGATGGTAGCTATGTATGAATGTATGCGTGTTAATGTATATGCATATTCATATGAGTTCATGTTTAAACATGTTTGACCTTGAAATACGTAAGCGAATATGCATAAAGTTGAATTCATAAAATGTGTACGTATATGTACATATGTATATGCATATATTTAATTACATTTTAAATTATATGTATAATTTAAAATTATTATATTATTTATATATACATACATAGATATGTATGTACATATGTATTATCAAATTCAAATTAGGTTTATACATATGTACATATGAATTCTTGTATTCAGTACTAGTCGCAAAATTCTACGAAGAGATGGTCGGATAAGATTATGCCCGACGAATGGAAAGTATGCTCTGCCTAATCGACTCTGCTCTCTCACTCTGCGCCAATTAACGTGGGATGCGCCAATTAGAATTATCAAGTGTATTGTGTGAAAGGCTAAAGCTCAGCATGAAAAGGAGCCTATGCCACTATCTCTGTTACTGGTATCTTCACAAAACTTGTACGGCTGTGTAATTTGAAGTTGAACAACACACCAAAAGAAAGATCGGAAAAAGTCGTTCTATACAATACGAGGTTTCAGACTGTTGGAGATTACTTATTGTGTGGCTTCTTGAATTTATTCTCCTTCCTCTTCATTGACGTCGGAGTCACTTACGTGTTTAAAGGAATTTTCTATTGTAAATATTATTACGATTTTCGGATCGTTAAAATGATGTACGGTGTACTTAGTTTAACCATATTCGCCATCGCTGAATCAGCTGTTGTAAACTAAACGACAGATCGCTGACTAAGCGACGAATAGATAAAATATTGATATTTTATTAAGGTTAAAGTAAAGTAAAAGGACATAACAATGCTTCGGGCAATGGATGATCCTTTCCACTTGAATGCAACTGAGTTTCGGAAACAAGATATTGGTTTGCCCCAAAAGAAACCGGCACCGGCGTTGGCACAAATTACAGAATTGCAACACATATATATATGTAAATGAAAACAAAAAAGTAATGCCCATATAAGCAATAAATAAATTTTATATTTTTAAAAAATTTTCCAATATACCTACATACAGTACTGGCACAGCAAGACAGTCCAACTTTGAGACCTCTTTTTGACCACTTATGAAAATATTTTTAATTCCGCAAAAAAATGCTAGACAGAGGGACACAATTTCAACTATTTTCAATTCAATTCGTTTTATTATCTTTTATGTTAAATTAATATTAATTATAAATGAAAAAAAGTACTAATTTTCACCAAGCCAAAGCATTAGCACACTTCATAAAAATACAAAAAAAAAAACTATAATATGTTTGATAACAGCTTCCAAACGCTTTTGCATCGATGCGATCAATTCGCACACGATAAGCGGCATGCTTCGGATCATTGTCCTGCTGAAATATAAATGACTCTGGCAATTTAAGTTTTTCGGCACATTTTTTGACATTCGATACAGTATTTTTCATCCATAATGCCGTCAATAAATTCCAGCTCGCCCACACCTGCAGCGGACATGCAGCCCCATACAATGACTCCCCCACGACCACGTTTTATAGTCGCAGAAACGTTCTCTTTTTGAAGTTCTGTGTTAGGTTTTCTCCACACAGTTTGACGGCCGTCAGATTGAAAGACATAAAATTTACTTTCATCCGAGAAGAGTACATTGTCCCAAAAGCCGATTGGTTTGCCAAAGTACTCCTTAGCATAGGCTAAATGTTTCTTTTGGTTCGCTTTCGTAATTAGGGGTTTTCGTCTAGCTACACGGGAACAAAAGTTAGCTTCATGCAATGCTCACCGGACCAACATCGGATGAATATACTTTCCCAACTCCTTCTTGACTTCCGCTGCGATTTGAGTGGAAGATAATCTTGAGTTTCTTTTTACCTTTCACACTATTTGGCTGCATCCACGGCTGCATCCGTTTCACACTGCTTCTTATAGTGTTGCGGCTACTGCCCATCATTTAACCAATTTATATAGACATAATGGGACTTAAGAAAAGAAATTTTCCTAGATCAATGATATTTAAGCGAAATAGCCGAGTGAAAATTGAATGTGCCAATACTTTTGTTTGGTGAAAATTAGTACTTTTTTCATTTATAATTAATATTAATTTGACATAAAAGATAATCTAATGAATAGAAGTGAAAATGGTTGAAAATGTGTCCCTCTGACTAGCATTTTTTTTTTTTTTTTGGAATGAAAAATATTTTCATAAGATGAACTAAAGTTGAACGGTCTCGCTGTACCAATATTTTAGTTCGTCACTGTATATATGCATATTTAGAGTTTTAGCAGATGAAAACAAACATAAAAAATTTTAAAAAATATTAATGTATGTTAAAAGCGACGAGTCCTACATAGGATTGACATCTACCGAAACCTCCAAATCGATCAGAATGGCGGGATTCTAGTGAGAGTTTTGATCTAAGTAAGCACTATACGGTATCTCAAGATAAATTCTCGAAACTTAACGAGGCAAAAATAAGAGAGAGAGAATGTTTGTAGGTTTACAAATGGTGCTACTGATAAATGATAAGACCCTTGTAGGAAAACTTAGTGACATTGAGAATTCTGTCTTAAACCTTTTTGAAAACCATAAAGTATTAAAAGGAAATATTAGACGAGCTTATAATGGCATATAAATATTTGAAGGCACTAAGTCAATGAAAATACATATGCTGGACTCGCGTTTGGATTTCTTTTCAGAAAATTTGAGTTGGGTTCCATCAGGACATGGTCTTAATTGAAAAGTGTTATCAATTAAAATGTAGTTCAAGAATGTTAGCGGATTATTGTTTTTTGTTTGTTACATTTAGGGTATTCACAAGGTGTCATATTACGTCATATCGTCTTTTGTTTTATTTTTTTGGTGATTACCATATCAACACTGTTGCTATTTCCCATGAAATAAAGGCTCCTCATAAAACAAATCATCAGACGGTCGGTGGCGGTTTGGTATAAACTGTAGGTCTCTCCAATTGTTGGAAAAACATCAAGATGCAAAACCACAAGTTGGAAAATGAGCTCGGCCGAAAATCACTTCAGCGGTTACAAAGCGCCAATTATATATTATATTCTATAAGCTGTATCTGTTTACTTTTTTATTGTTGACGTTTAAGTGTCTAAAATAAATAAATAAAATAAATTTCAACAATTTCTTTAACAATTTGTAAGGGATTGAATAAAAGAAAAATACAAAAAGATTTTGCTATTTATGTTATTGCAAATGATTTTACTGCCGTATAAACCAAAACGCCGCCATTTCAGCCCGGTGCATAAGTGGAGTGCGGCAGAAGAAATATTGAACAATATGGCATATAACGATTAAGGGAAGCTCACAAGTGTCATTTTAAGACTATTGAAATATGACAAAACTCATAAGACAAAGCTTGTGAATTGCCTAATTATTGGTTGGTGACCCTAATAAGTTCAAAGTTCTATGTAAGCTTTCTGTGAAAAAAAATTTAAATTTCG